CCCAAATTCAGCTCTGTTTTCCAGCAGAAGCACTTGCAAGCTTGTCCCTAAGGAGTTAAGGAGCACAGCTGCTCAGCTTCCCTTTCCCTCCGGCTCTCCAAGCCCTTTGCAAAACCTTTGGTCTCCTTGATCTTCCAACCCCTCCCACATAAATGGGACAATCAGCCCGAATGAAGGCTCCAAGCTGCTGGATTGATTTGGCCCAAAGCTTGCTCTGAACTGGGAAAAGACATCTGCTTTGCTCATCAAATGATGGATCTGTCATTGGCAGGGCTGTGTTTGGCAGAAGCACCGAGTGGAGTGGTTTGAGCAGCTGAGTGGGAATCAGGAGAGTTGGGCATCTGCCTGGACCCCTTAAAGCTGGGAAAGTCTCCCAGGGAYACATGCTGCTCCCCGTGATCCCACAGTCCCTCACTGATGGGTTATTTTATTTTTATTATTATTATTTTATTTTACTATAATTTTATTTTATTTTTAAGTTTATTCACGACGTGGGAGAGGTCACAGGAGAGCTTCCCTCTGATTAAAAACCACAGGGTTTGCAAGTCCTCCTGTGCTGCTCCCACAAAGAGCTCTTGGAGTGTTTTAAACTTGCATTAATCTCCCAGTCTATGTCTGGATTACTGATACMTAAAATTTACTTCTCCATGTTGCCTTATTTGTAACGTGGTTTTGGATTCTCACACRAAGTTCCTTCAGAAGAGGAAATAATTATAATTTTCTATAAATACTCTTTTTTTTTTTTTTTCATTTTTCCCAAGACCACCAGAGCTTTTGCAGCTTTTGACAGTCTTGTTGGAAATTGTGTCACTCATCACTATAGACATAAATCTGAGTTGATGTCTTCTTTTACTGATTCTTGTCCTTTTACACAGTATTTTTTTGGCTCACTCAGAGCCAAAAAACTCAGAGCACTTTTAGGAATAAAGCTGTGTTTTCCTGAGGATGCTTAAGGGGAAAAAAAACACAAAAGAAACTGAAAATTTAGTTTTAAAACAGAGCTGCATGAAGGTATGGAAGAAGGCAAAGCCAGGACTGTTGTGTTAGAAGTTCCTCCAGTCCTGTGTTCCTACAAAAAAWGACTGTGGAGGAAAGCCAGAAGGATCTCCTTCGGGTGATGCTTGAAATGAGACCTGCCTGCCAAAATCTTTCATTTCCTTTGTGGTTCAGGTGAGGAAAGGTTAAGAAACCTCATCTCCACCTCGAGCAGTGACTGGAGTCAAGTCACAGGAACTCTGGGGAGCAATGGTGCTCTTGTCTTGAAATGAARCTGCATTCCTGTTTTGACAGAAGCTGCGGGAAGGTGGGCATGGTGAGAAATGGTCACCCAGAGAACCACAATCACCCCATGTCCATTTCCACAGAGCTGAACAGAAATGGGTGAGGGATGGGATTTCATCCTCTGAAGGCTTTTCAGTCCTACTCCTCCTTTTTTTGACTCCTGTTATTTATGGTCATCCCATCCATTTCCTTCTCTSCTGGAGTCTCCACACAGTGAGCTCCAGGTGACCCCAGGAAATGCTCTGGGATCAGAAGAAAGGGCCCTATTGAGGCTCACAGCCCTTCCTCTTGGCCCTGCTGAATCCCACCTGTCTCTGTGTCCCATGGTTATTCTGGSTCTGCTGGTGGCAGACAGCAGAGATGAGATGAAAAATCTCCTTCAGTCTGTGACAACCCTTGGAATTGTATTTCATTTTAGAGTGTACACAAGGGCTTTATTTGCAGCAGCAGGCTGCACAGTAATCCCCTAACAATCCCTGGGATCCATAGGGAAGGAAAACTCTCATTAATAAAGACTCCAGTTACAACTCCTCGATGTGTGAGAGCTGCTGCAAAATTCAGAGCTGCAGGAAATCACATCCAGAGAAACATTCCCTTCATCTTTCTGCTCAGAGCATGAGCAGGAAGCCCTGTGACAAACCCACCACACCTTTACACTGTGTTTTGGGCATGCAGTAAGGGCTGGTTCCAAGTTTCATCTTCACCCATAAGGGATATCCCTGAGAAACTGGATTACAGTTCTCCATCTGATGTTAACATGGGCTAACCAAAGCTTGTCATGCTTTTGCTTTGTATTTACTTTTTGGATGGGGAAAGTGAATTAATGTTCTCCCTAGCCCCTTGTCTGTGTGGTCAGTTGCCCACTGCAGTGAAAGAGGCCAAAACCCCAAATCCCCACCTTCTCCATAGGAAAAAATCCAAACGAAACAATGCAACATAGAAAAAAAAAACCCAAAAAACCTAGAAATGGAGAATTAGTAAAGTGASTTTATATCAAACTGTCTGTAAAGTCCTAGTTCAACTTTTTGAGGAGGAATAGGCCAAGAAAAGATGATTATTGAGCCCCTCATCTAGGGAATATCCCCTCTGACGGGCAGCACTCACAGCTCTTGAGGGCTCTTTCCAGCCCCTGAGCATTTTCTCACCCGGGAGGGGAATTAAAGCAGCTAAATTTGTTGTTTTGCTCACCAGATGCCCTGATGACCCGCCAACAAAAAAAAAGACACACTTTCTATTTCCCARTGATGYCCAARCCTGGTATTTTTARACTATTCTTTATTCTACCTGCCTCTGCTGTGTCAGTGACAGCTGTGCAATGTGAGGGTTATTGCTCTTATCACTGAAGGAGGGCTGCTCTGACACAGTTATTTATTTACTTTTTCAGTTAACGTGCAAAAGGAGCCATAAAYTCCAAGTCCTCCTGGAGAATCTGTTTGTTGACCTTGATTGAGTTAAAGGCCCAAATTCACACATCACTGACCTTCTCCAGCCAAGTGAGGGTGTTTAGGTTTGAACCTCTCCAGCCATGGGCAGTGGGGTGGGATGAAAGCCTTCAGARCTGGTGTTTGCTGGTGGATGGGAAGGGATGGTTTAAAATTGGGTCAAACTCAACACTGAGCTCTGACTCAGCTGAAATTGCGGCTGATTGTGTCCCACTGGCAGAGGAGGCAAGCTACATCCCACTCTTTGTTTGCAGAATCATAAAATCATTAAGGYTGGAAGAGATCCCTGAGATCCWCAAGTGGAGTCATTACCCCAGCACTGCCATAAATATGTTKTCTCTTGGATTGYATGAAAAAAAAATTAAAAATATGAGATTTTAACAATTATGTGCATGAGCAAGTTTACTTGAGCCTGTCACAAGCCCGCTTTTCAGAGCAGAGCTTTTCAGAGCATTTCTTTTGAAAAGGTGATAAAAAAAGTTACCCAAAAGTAAATATTGAGGGCCTTTGTGATAAATATGCAATCAGCCAATTTAGGCATGAGTTTTTAGGGAGGGAAGAAGTGGCAGTGAAGTACTTGCTAATGGGCTTGGTTTAAAATCTGCTGCCTAAAAAATATTAAGATATATTGTAGAAKTACAGGGCGCCTTGCCAGCCCTGATCAAAGCTAAAGTCGTATGAATTAATTTATAAAGTGAAAGCCAGAGGTATTTATAGATGTGAGATGMATTTGGCAAAAGTTTAAGTCCAGAGAGTTAGAACTTCCCTTTGAAAAAGTCAGAATGTTTGGAAAACATTTCAATCTTTATTTCTCCAGCAAGTGTTCTGCAAATCTCTCATGCTTCCCTTCGTGCCTTTTTGAGGTTAAAATAAAAAGGCAAGAAGCACTGTAAATCAAAACAAAAYGAATCTGTGGCATTTTAGATGAGCCAAGATGAAATTTCTTGGGAAATTTCCCTCTGGGAAAGAGAAACATTTGAGAATGAAGACAATTCCAAATGATTCCCTTCTTCTTGTGTTTGTTTTTTTATTTATTTTTAATTTGACTAGAAAACCACATAATTAATTGTTTAGACACTACTAACCAAAGCCCATTCCCAACCTGAAGGAAATTACAATCTGAACCAGGCAGAGTATGAAACAGGGAAAAGAGTAGGACAGGTTAATAGGAAATGGTGTGATAAATGTAATGTGCTAAATTATTTTATAATTTAATCCAAATTTACTTCAAACAATTGTACCTTTAAAGGATTTCTGGACTTTTTATCTTAAAACCTTCACTAGCAAATATATGGTTAGAGCACACTGATGTTTTTTCCTGCATCACATTTGTCAGTGACAGTATAAACTCAAGCCAAGCCTTGGCTATCCTGACATCATTTCCTCACTCCACCTTGTTGCAGCTGGATTTCTGAAAAGTTTTCTCCCTGTTGAATGCTCTTTCCAGTCCCTTTAAAAGAGATGGGTTTGGTGCAGCCTCAGTTTCTTTCCATAGCGATGGTCAAAGTGTCCCCTCTAAGCTGAGAGTGCGTGGGTGACAAGGGGACACTGAGATATGTGTGAGCTCCCAGTTCCTTTATTGGAGTAAAAATCATCATTAATTTCAGATTAAATCACACTTTATGATTGARGAAATTGAGGAAATTGAGGAAATTCAGGAATTCCACGTTACGAGGAGTCCACGATTAATTACCTGAACATTTATGGCCACTGTTGTATTACAAACACAATATAATTAGGCCTGACTGAGGAGAAGCCACTTGAGGGGAAAAACTCTTGTCACTGGGAATTTCCTGCTTTTCAGCCCCTTGATCTCCTAATCTGCATCAGAKATTCCGTTCGTATTTGATTTGGGTTTTGTTGTGCTTTGAATTAGCGTGAGAGCCAGGAGTCAGGGAATAAACCATGAAGCACAGATCCCACTGCTCCTGGCATGAATATTCAAGCTGCCGTCTCCCTGCCCTACATAGCTGGTGGTGCTGGTTAGCCAGGCAGGCTTTCCAGAGCATAAAGCAGCAGATTTGCTCCTGATCATCAGGGAAAAAAAATAGGTTTTGGTTCTTTTTTTTCCTGAGGAAATGGAGGGAAATGCTGATTTTTCAGTGGGCTCTGGTTGCTCTCCCTTTTCTCGAGTGAATGTAAAATAAGGCTGGGTGCACATCACCCATGGGCAGTGCCCTGGAGAGCTCCAGCTCGTTCCACCAGGCCCTAAATCTCCAGGAATGGCTCCCTGAGGGTGGGCTTGGCTCACTGTGTCCTTCTGTGCCCTCCCTGCAGGCGTCCAGCACGCGGCCGGAGTGCAGCATCATGCAGGAGATCGAGGAGGAGCGCAGCCAGTGCTTGGCAGAGCTGACCTGGGACAACCAGACCTCAGGTAGGGCAACGCTCCCTTCCCTCCCTGGCAGCAAATCCAYGTCTCCCAGCCTCACACCTGCCTGGCCCAGGCTGTTTCCCAGCCCTCCTGCTGCTGCAGCAGGGATTCCCTCAGCTGATGGTCTTCAAGAGGGAGGGGAATTGGTGCTTCCAAAACACAGTTCCATCAGCCAAGGGTTCCAGCAGCTCTCTGGGGTTCCCTTGCARCCTTTCCCAGCTGGGAAAGCTGAACTGACGTGTCTCTGTGGGCTTAAATTCAGTTGTCCACCTCTCTGAACTGGAGTTTTTCCAATTTTCCCTTGGGAACTGAAAGCCTGAACTTCTCTCAGGAGATGGAGAGCCTCCTCTTGGAATTCTCTTGGAATGCTTTGAGGGAAGTTATTGTGACCTTCTCCTTTCATTGCACTGCCCTCCCAACCCCATGCCAAAACTGGTCCTGTCCTGGTGGTGAAGCACAGGATGCCCCAAAGCTGAGAAGAATCTCTGGAGTTGGGACAGTCAGCTGAGATCTTCTCCTGATCTCCTCATTCCCACTGGGAACTCCTGGAAGGGTCTCCAGGCTCCTTAACCCACTCCTTGCTTCTATGATCAGGAACAGAGGAAGGTTTTGGTGCTGTCCCATGCCATGCCATGCCATGCCATGCCATGCCATGCCATGCCATGCCATGCCATGCCATGCCATCCCATCCCATCCCATCCCACCCCATCTTGTCCTGCAGCAGAGCTGTCAAAACCCCAAAACAGGTTTGGGACAAGTTAAGGCATCCAGCTGGATTTGTTTCCCTCCAACTGTTGCCTAAAAATCAGGCWCACCTGAAACAGAGGCCAGACAAACTTAAGAGAATGAGAAYAGACAACTTTAATCCAGGCCTAACAGGCCCCCTGGTACATCAGGGCAGACAAAGCTCCTGAGGCTACACCCAAAATGGACMCYGAGTCACGAGATCTTCACCTTTTATAAGTTCCATCTCATTAACATATTGGGCCCCAATTCCCCAGTGACACCTTCAGGTGATGATGTCAACCACCCCAAACTTGCTCCATCCAATTCTCTGTTGTTTCCATATTTTGGGGCTCTGAGGCAGCGAGGTGTCCTTGGATTCAGGCTCAAAGAGGAATTGTTTTCTCTAAAGATGGGAGAACGGTAGTTTTTAGTGCTATAATAGAGAAGTATAAGAATACAGATTCATGAAAATACAGAAAGTAAAAATCCTAAGGCATCACAACGCTTCTCAAGTCACCAGTCCCATCTCTGTGCCAGTAAAAGGTGTGCAGAGACTGCCATGATCCAAAACAAAGGGATCATTTCGCTGGAGAAAGTGGCGGAAAAATCCTACTTGGGGTTTGTCTCCCTCCTCCCGAAAGAGGGAAAAGTGGGAAAGGATGCCTCCTCATCCTCTCCCCCTTGGTGCTGTTTGCAGCCAGGCTACTGCCTGAAGGACTGTCCTGATGGAACAGAATCCTGGGACAARCTGATCCCAGGGGGAGCTCCACTGGATGCCAGGAAGGCTTTTGGCCCYGGCTTTTATCTGCTGAGAGAGGGTTTCCTTTGATTTGGAAGCTGTTTCAAGTGTCCCTGCACAGTTAAATGGAGTCGTTTGAAGAAATGTTCTTCTGGAATCCAGTAAAAGGAAAGCTCAGGGTGGATAAAAACACTCATCTGAAAGCCAGCTAAATGYTTCATTTCGTTTTCATGGATATTTAAAGAATTTCAATTAAGTACAGTACATTAGAAGGAGAAGAATAAATAGTTGAAGTGATGATATGTTTTTCTGCTTTTTGAGGATGATTTTTCTCATTGGAAAATGTAATCCAAAACAGCTTTTTTTCCCCCCTCTAACAACAGAATTAAACCACTGAAAACGTTTTTTTCCAATTCTGAAGTAAAGATGCACAGCCCTCTTACAAGCCATTAATGCCCAAATTTTAGCAAGTATATAGAAATATTTTTGAGGCTTCTTTCATGATGGAAAACTGAAATGGGCTGGGATAAATCTACATTTCCACCAGTTGCTGCTCATGAGTAGGACTGGTTCAGAAATGGCAGCTGTGAGCACTATAAAATGGTTTTGTCCATGGAGAAAGTACTGGAACTCARGTGACAGGACAAGGGAAATGRCTTCAAACTGAAGGAGAGTGCTTTAGGTGAGATATTGGGAAGAAATTCTTGGCTRTGAGGGGGAGGACACCCTGGCACAGTTGCTCAGAGCAGCTGTGGCTGCCCCTGGATCCCTGGAAGTGCCCAAGGCCAGRTTGGATGGGGCTTGGAGMACCCTGGGATAGAGGAAGGAGATGATTTTAAGGTCCCTTCCTTTGTGGAAAGCAGCTGTCACCCATTTACCCCAAAACATCAGCAATTATTTAAGACCTCAATACCTGACTTTATTTTCTAGACTCTCCTCTTCCCTGGAACCAAAAGAAAAAAAAAAAATCCCTGAAGTGCTGGCTTTTAAATGGATGGCTGTGGGTGGATCAGTTTTTGGAGAAGTCTGTTTTGTAARCGGTGTGGACAGATAATTTCCAAGTGCATACATAGGAGGTGTTTCCYCTTTGGAATGTTCACAGCTTGTGAGCACAAGTAGGTCAAAGAAATTGTTTTTCTGGAGTGGGGCTCCATAACTCAATAAATAAAGCTGAGCTGTAAAATCAAACTTTGAACTTTGACGGYTGGGGGTGAGGGGGAAGTTTGTGGAGAAATCTCATGCAGGCGATGATATGAGATCAGATGAAGGTGATGACTTTTTAATCTGAGTGTTGCTGGGGAAAAAAAAAATCCTACTTAAACTCCATCCCCAGAACAGGAGGATGGAAAGCAATCGAGGTTCCCTGTGATCTGCAGTGCAAAACTTTGATTTATGGCCAGGTAGCTGTGTTGCCTTGTGCACTTTCCACGCCTTTTCAGCAAAAAGATAATTGCTTGAGGTTTAACAAAGGATTCGTTATCCTTTCTAATTAAATGAGTGGGAATAAACACGATGTTTGGGTACATTTCAGAAAGAAAGCTTTGTTTGGGAGCCATTATCAATCTTATTGATCAGAGGGGTTTAATCACAGCTGTAATTGGATGTGTCAGACAGATTAGTCACTGGTAAGAGCATTTGATGGTGGTGCTGAGGGTGATCACTGGCTAAGGAGGTGGATTCCCATTGATAAACAAAAATATCCTTCTTAATCCTCTTCTGTCTTCAAACACCCCCTTCAAACCTGACAGGGGCTGAACTCGCATGAAATCCAGCCTTTCGTTGCAGATTAAATTTTTTCCACTCCTGGAAGTGCCTAAGGCCAGGCTGGACAGGGCTTGGAGCAACCTGGGATGGTGGAAGCTGTGCCTGCCCACGGAATGAGACGATCCATGAGAACCCCACTATTCCCCTTTAGGAGTGTAATTCAGTATCTGTGGAGTTACCCACTTTTGAGGAGATTTGACAGCTGAACTTGATAATTTTCAAGGTCTCTTCTCACCCCCAACAAGAAGAAGTTTGTTTTCCAGCAGAGGAAAGGCTGCAGAGGCCATATCCAGGGAGAAATCCTCAGGGAAAAGCTGTTTAAGCCAGGAGTGTGTGCACAGGAGAACCAAACCGCTGCCAGGTCAAAGTTGGGGCTTTTAAGGAGATTTGTAGCCATCAGAGGACACCCAGCAGCCTCTCTGCAGGAAGGAGAGTGTTGTGGGCTTCGTGGAAGAGGGTGCCTGGTTTCTGGAAGGGTTTGTGGGACGTGTTGGAGCACAGGGCTGGATTTGGGGAGCAGGACTGGCCTTGCACTGCTCTGCCCTGCTGGTTTATAACTCTGTGCTGAAATACCTAACAAAGATATCAAAAGACAAATGTGATTCAATACAGGAGGGGATTCTTTACCAYTAAATTCAAGAATACATAGGCTGAGACTGGTTTTAAGTGGGCAAACAGCCATGACATTTGGGAATGACTTCTGGTGAGGGATTTTTGCTGTTTTTTGGGTATTTCCAATATGTTCTGGCCAGCAGCAGGCATCTCCTTCAGGATGGGATGAATCYCACTCATATTGTTTTGCCTGTTGGCAAAATCTTTGTTTACAATGAGGAGATTCTTAGTGAAGAGAATTCCTATAGCTCAGGTGTGTAGGAAAAAACCACATCCACGGATGGTCCCTGTCCTGGTGTTTGTAAATCCGAGGGGACTCGGCCAAATCAGGGGAAATCCCAGCTCCATCACTAGAAATGATGGATCTGTTTG